GTGTTATTTTCATTTTTTATGTTCTTTACCTAAAATCTGAGACTAAACAATTTGGCTGCAACTGCCACTGTTGAGCCAAACAGAAGCCAGGGCTCTGGAACTCCATCTGTGTTTCCCATGTGGGTAGCAGGAATTCAAGTACTTGTGCTGTGTTCCACTGCTTCCCATGTGCATAAGGAGGGAACTGGGTCACAAGCAGAGTAGCTGGGACTTAAACTGGCATTCTGATATGGGATGCCAGCCTTGTAAGTGGTTGTTATGCAACAATGTGGGCCCTTAAAAATGTTTTTAAAATATCAGCACTTTTAGGTTTATGTGATGGGATTACCGTGCTTAGAAGAAGATTATCAGGGTGCCAGGGAGTTATAGTGTAGTGAGTTAAGCCACCACTTGTAATGCCAGCATCTCATAAAGAAGTGCTGGTTCGTGTCTCAGCTGCTCCACTTCTGATCCAGCTCCCTGCTGATGCTCCTGGGAAAATAGCAGAAGATGGCCCAAGTCCTTGGGACCCTGGCACCCGTGCGGGAGACCTGGATGAAGCCCCTGGCTCCTGGCTTTGGCCTGGTAGCCCTGGCTGTTGTGGCCATCTGGGGAGCAAACTAGCAAATTGAAGATCTCTCAGTCTCTCCCTGGAACTCTTTCAAATAAAAATAAATAAATAAATAAATAAATAAATTCATTCTTTAAAAATACTATTAAAAATTGATTACCAAGCAGTTACTTACTCAGTTTCCTTAATAGTGTGTCGTTAAATACAACTAATCAATGACAGGAAATTTTCATTTTTCTTTGTAGGCATGATCACTGATCTTTTCATCGATAAGTTTAAGTTCAAAGGCACCAATGTAAAAACCAAGGTACCTCTGCTACTGGAGATTCTGGATAGTTATGACCAAAATGCATTGATTGCTTTCTTTGACGCAGCATGACATATCAGCAAGGTAAAGTTCCCAAGAAGTGGTCTATTGAAACAAAAATGTTCAAACACAGTTAGAGGCTAACTGTACATGCTTTTTGTTTCAAATGCTTCTTGCTATCACCTAATTTATCAATGTATTTAATATCTAAAAATTTGAGACATAGTGACTTTTTTAGTAATATTTCTTTTGACACATGAAGCTTTTTAAAAACAGATTTTTATTTTAAAACTCAAGGGGAATGATTACAAGGGATTTTTTAAAAAGTAAGTTTTACAAAGTGTGGATATTTTAATTTTTAAATTGAGAAATAATATATGGAAAATGAAAATGTATTCCGATTTTCTGCAAAGTACATACATACACACCTAAGTGAAAACTGCTTTATAGGTTTCAGTGCATACTTTTATATATTACTTTATTTAATCTTCACAGCTGCTCTGTACATTTGTGAAATCATATAAGAAAATTGATTCTCAGTAAAACTGCACACTAGGAGGATATGCTGAAATTTTATAAAGCTGGATCCAGAACCTATGTTTTGATACCTGGCTTGTGTCTTGATTACTATATATATATCATCAACCAGTGGAAATAACCTACCAACGGTTTTTCCTAGGAGTTGGGATTGGTCTGCCACTGATTTTTCTCTTACTTGGTTTTATCACTGCTGCAGTGTGTGAAATGCTTAACTTGGTTCAGTGCTGTACATTATTGCCAGGGAAATAAGCAGAGCTCAGAGAGTGGGGTGATCTTAACTTGATGTTCTGTAAGCAGTTGAGCTGTAAAGAGTACAACAGGAAAAGAGTGTAGAAAAAGTAATGCCTTCTTAGATTTTCCTGTACTAGTGTCCATGATTTCCTTTTTTATTTTAATTGAAGGAAAATGTTTTGTTCATTAATCCTGATTCGTATTTATTCATGTCAGATGACTATTTGTTTAAAACTTTTTAAATGGCATAAAGATCATGGAAAATAAGCTGGTCTTCATGTTTTCAGGAAGGGCAGGCTCATGAATTTTTCAGAAAACGATGTTTATTTATATGCCATTATATTATTTATGTGCAAACCTTTTCTATTAAATGTAAAAATGTGTTAAAGGCAATATCGTTAATAGTTTTGTTTTAATAAGGTCATATTGTTTTTACTATATTTAAACAACCTTCCTTTTAAATGGAACATATAATTTTATCTAGGTCACTAGAATTTCACTGTGTCCTTTTTGTTGGCTGCCAAGGCTTGGAAAAAATAGATAAAGATTAATGACTGATGTCCATTTCAATTTTTGTAATACATTTCTGTTCACCTATTATCAACAATAGTTCAAAGTGGCATCCTAAGTTACTTGCATCTTAATTAAGAAAATTAAAAAGTGTAAGAATTCCGCCCTCCTTCCTAAATGGTAAAATGACATTGTAGTCTTTTAAGTATTTTCATGTAAACTGCGTGTTTAATGGCAGATGCCCTTTAGTTCATCCTTACAACGCTATGTCGTGTAGTTACTACTTCCAATTAATCGACAAAGAACTGGAGCTACTGAGGCCACGACCAGTTAAGTGGCCCAGATTTCAGGCTCTGGTAAATAAGTCACTCGAGCTAATAAGCGGTTCCAAAGCTGAAGGCTCAGCGGCCCACTAACAGTTGCTAAAATTTTAATCCCGTCTGTCCTAAGAGGCACACCCAGCCCTGCCCCACTAGTGGCGCTTAAAGCCCCGGGGCGGGCCCGGCGTCCCCTAAGCCTCCGCCCCGCGCAGGCGTTTTTCCTCCCGCCGCAGTTCGACGTTGCTCCGCCCCGCCCTTGCTGGGTTCCCTCTGCCTCCGCTCTCACTCTCCTGCGACCTTGTCGCCTCGAGTGACGTAACGGGCTCCGGCTGTTTTCATTGGCCCATTTCAATAGTCGCGGGATACTTGAACTGCATGAACAGCCGCCGCACCGGCGGGCTGCTCGCTACATCGCTGGGGTGTTTTTTGCCCTCCGCGCCCGGCAGCGTTTGCCTGCGCCTCTCGCAACCTCCTCGATCCTGCGCGGTCCGGAGACAGGGGAGCGAGCGGGAGGGCTGGCAGACTGGCCCGGGCTGCGGCGGGGGGCTACGGCTGGAGCGTTCCTCGGCGGGATCGGCGCCGCTGGTCGACTGGGCGGAGTGTGCACGCTGCTTGGCTCGGCAGACTGATCCCGCCGCCCGCCCCCTGGAGCAACGATGTTGGGCCACAACGTGCCGAAGCCCGCGGCCCGCGAGGCGGGCTCGGCGCTCCTAGAGGACCAGGAGAACATCAACCCCGAGAAGGCGGTGCACGCCCAGCAGCCGCGGGCCCAGGCTGCTCTGGCGGTACTGAAGGCTGGGAACTCCCGGGGTCCAGTTCCACAACAGAGGCCCAAGACGCGACGGGTAAAGGGATAGGGGATGTCGGGAGGAGGTTGGGCCGAGCGGGAGTCAAGCATGGGCTTAGCGGGCGGAGGAGAGTGAGAAGGAAGCGTTTTCTGGGCTTTGTAGGGGGAGCCGGGGTCGGGATTCCACTGGGGCCCTGGTTTTCTGATGTGTGTGTGGGGTGCCACTGTCGTAGCTGCTCCCTTTCCTAATTAGCATTACATCCTTCTCAACTCTGCGTGTGCGGCCTGTCTGCCCTTGGGGGCGTCTTCCTGTAGATAATGGGGTCAAAGCGAGTCCAACAACGTGAGTGCAGTCTTTGCCCAGCTCCGCACCTTTCTTCCACTTTTAAACCCCAGGCACGGCTCTAGGGCCCTGGCCCCCTTACCCCTCACGATCTGGTTAAGACTCCCTCTATTTTTAGAAAAGGATGTGAAAAAATACCTGTAGCTTTTGGCAAATTCCGCCATTTTGGCCGAATTTGCTCTGTTGCTCCACCCTGGGGCGAAAGTGGTGAACCTATTCCTTTTTTTGGTGCCATCTCTCCTCAACTTGTCAGTTCTGCCACCCTAGCCTTAATGTGGCTTTGATTAGTTTTGTATAAATCTGCTCAGTTCTGACTTTTTGTGTAACTTTCACAGGAATGTCCGTGACAAACTGAAACATTCCTTCTGCCTTTGAGTGCTCAACTATTCCTTGCCTAGAAGTTACTTTCGAAAGTTTAATTTTCCTGTTGCGAGTATTGGATCTCATAAGGGGAAGAAGGCAAAACTCATTTAATAGGCTCAAAGCCAGTGATTAATTTCCTTTTAGGTTGCACCTCTTAAGGATCTTCCTATAAATGATGAGCAGGTCTCTGTTCCTCCTTGGAAAGCAAACAGTAAACAGCCTGCATTCACCATTCATGTGGATGAAGCAGAAGAAGAGCCTCCCAAGAGGCCCACGGAATCTAAAAAAGACAAGCCTGAAGATGTCCTGGCTTTTAATTCAGCCATCACTTTACCTGGACAAAGAAAACCACTGGTACCTCTTGATTATCCAATGGATGGTAGTTTCGGTAAGTTTTAAAGAAAATATGTGTTATACTAAGGGCATTATAACTATTGGATTGGATTGGATTAGTGAGATTTTGTGTCTTGTCATTGTCTTACCTGACGATTATGACACAGTGATTTAAGTTTCATGGAATAGGCTTAAATAGGAGGTGACCTACATTGCACAGCTAACACCTGACCTAGTGACCTACAAAAGGACCTGTGTCCTAATCCGGTACTCTTTTGGGTGTTCATGTGCCTATCACATCAATTTATTTAGCTCTTGAATGCTTATTTTAATGTGACCCCATGAATGTTTGCTTGGTTGAGAAGAGTAAATTTCAGTTGTATGTAAACAGTTACTAGTACAGAAGGCTGTTTGAGGATGTGTTCTTAGAATCCTGTGATGTCTAACATCTCCTCAGCTGGAAAATTTTGGTTCTATAAAATCAGTTTGAGTGGTCATCTGATAACAAAGTGAGAATGTCCTCCCGCGAGTGAGCCATTCCATCACAGCTGTTTGTCCTTACCCACAAAGAGAGCAGCTACTGTAGACAGCCATGCCTGTGGGTTGTACGCTGTATTTACCGCAGGCTATTGAATCACTGATAGCGCACTAGATCCAATCTGATTTTAGTTTTAGTTCTATTGATCAGGAGTTGACAGAATAAAAGGGAAAAAGGTCTTTGGAAATAATTTGGTTTTATTTCAGTTTTGCAACGAATTTTTAACCTTAAGGTGATCTTTGAAGTGAAATAATAATAGGTATTATTTGAAGATAAAATTATAAAAAGAATCTTATTACAGTATTCATCTGTTTGAACTTGTCCAGAATAAACTTATGTTCATTCTTAACACTTGGTGGAAACCATTTAACTCTGATTATAGCTACTACCTAACTGTTCCTTGAATATATCAGACTATTGGGTCTGCAGGGCAAATCTTAAAAATGTCAAAACTTGGATTTTAATTGCTCTGTCCCAACAGAACCACTGTGCCATCTTCCTCTGTCTCATAGGAAATGAATGATGCTTTAAGATAATACTCAGTCCTCATTTTCCTGTTACTGGCCTATCAGTTTCTTTTTTCTTCATTAATTGAAATCATTCCAAACAGTTAAGATATTCTGCGTACTTCGTCATAAGTTAATGCTTTGATAGTGAGATTCCTTATAAGAGCAGTAATTTCTAGCTGTTAAACAGAAAATTTTAACAATTAACTTGATCATCTTTTGAATTGTCTCAGAGTCACCACATACTATGGACATGTCAATTGTATTAGAAGATGAAAAGCCAGTGAGTGTTAATGAAGTCCCAGACTACCATGAGGATATTCACACATATCTTAGGGAAATGGAGGTAAAGACCGAGTCCATTTTGTAAATGTGACTAAGTGAAATTGAGAGGATAATGTTTCATCTTTTAAACCTAGTGCTTTATCCTAAATGCTTTACTCGAGTTTATAGCATGGGGAATCTTTGTGAATAGTAAAATAATCCAATTGCAACTTTAACATGACTAAATAACTTTTCTCAACAGGTTAAATGTAAACCTAAAGTGGGTTACATGAAGAAACAGCCTGACATCACTAACAGTATGAGGGCTATCCTCGTGGACTGGTTAGTTGAAGTAGGAGAGGAATATAAACTACAGAATGAGACTCTGCATTTGGCGGTGAACTACATCGATAGGTTTCTTTCTTCAATGTCTGTGTTGAGAGGAAAGCTTCAGCTTGTGGGCACTGCTGCTATGCTGCTAGCCTCGTAAGTCCAACTTGGTTTGCTTAATTAAAAGTGATCACTACCTTTTCGTGTAGGGAAGAAATTACATTTTAAAAAAAGATTTATATATTTATTTGAAAAATTACAAAGAGAGAGCAAGCGAGTGAGCCTCCATCCATTGGTTCACTCCAAATGGCTACAACAGCCAGGCTGAAGCTAGAAGCCACGAGTTTCTTTCACGTCTCCATTTTCTAATCTAGAACATTAATCTTCCCAGATTTAGGTTTCAGGGTATCTTGAATAAACAGGCTGGCTATGTTTTTATACACCTAAGACCAGATTACAAAGTTTTGAAATCGTGGCTCCTTCAATAATAAAGTACTTTCTTGCATACAAGCAGTGTTTTTCTTTTTATTGGCATGAAAATAAATTGAAAAGCACAAAGTTTGTTTTCCTAAGACTTGTATTTCCTAAATTTTCAGCTACTTGGAGAATTCAATCAGTTCTCTTTTTGGGGAATATCTCACTTATTAGTAGTGGGAGAAATGCCTTACGAGTGCTTTCAATTTGAAACTTATTTTTTAAAAAGATTAGTATTAGAAAGGCAGAGTTACAGCAAGAGAGAGAGAGGCGGGGGGGGGGGGGGGGCGTGACACAGAGCTCTTTCATCCACTGGTTCACTCCCCAAATGTCTGCAATGGCCAGGACTATGCCAGGCCGAAGCTAGGAGCAACGAGCCTGAAACTTCTTCCAAGTGTCCCTTGTAGGGTGTGAGCCAACTTCTACTGCTTTCCCAGGTGCATTAGTAGGGGGCTGGATCAGAAGTAGAGCAGCTGGGACTTGAACTGACACTCATGTGGGATGCTGGCACCACAGGCCAAGGCATAACCCGCTATGTCACAGTGCCAGCCCCTGATTTGGACCTTTAAATTGGTAATCATCTACACACTGCTAGAAATAATGCTCAAGAATTGATGGAAATACAGTTGGTGGAGTGTAGGTTTGGATTTATTCTGGATGTTCTGCTAATGACTTCAGAATTAGGATAAGGATGCATGCTTCACTTTTCCAAAGAGTGATCACTTAAAACTTCTTTCATTGTAGAAAATTTGAAGAAATATACCCACCAGAAGTAGCAGAGTTTGTATACATTACAGATGATACCTATACAAAGAAACAAGTTCTGAGAATGGAGCATCTAGTTTTGAAAGTCCTTGCTTTTGACTTAGCTGCACCAACGGTAAATCAGTTTCTTACCCAATACTTTCTACATCAGCAGCCTGCAAACTGCAAAGTCGAAAGTTTAGCAATGGTAAGTGGTTTTCATTTTTGTTGGATGGAGTTTTAGGTAACAATCAGAGGCAGGTCCTAATTTAATTGTACCGCTTTGGTCAAGAGTTTAGTATTTTAGGGACAGATTAATATTGCAGAATGGAAGAAAACCTGCCAAAGAATATATTGGGAAAGCACTGGGGTAGTGGTATGCTGATTCTTGGGGCATCGCAGTCAGAAGAGTTGTCTCTAAGAAGTTGTTAGGGAAAATACAGGTCAAGAATGGAGCAGAACATTTAAAGACAGTATGTGAGATGAGGTTGTGGCATGTTTCTAGGGTTGCTACAGAGCAAAGTATCAGACACAGGAAAAATTAGGTCAGAAAATGAGAATTTGAAGTTTGACTTGTAAAGCTTTTGTGGTCACAAGGTATTTTTCATTTCAGTTTTTGGGAGAATTAAGTTTGATAGATGCTGACCCATACCTAAAGTATCTGCCATCAGTTATTGCTGGAGCAGCATTTCATTTAGCACTCTACACAGTCACGGGACAAAGCTGGGTATGTATGATGTGGCCTTCACACATCTACCTTATGACAGAAATGCTTATGTCAATTAAATAATGATCCTGTAGAACTGATGGTAATCTAAATGGTCTGTCTTGGAAAAAACTTAATTTATATTCTCTTTAAAGCATCTTATCTGTTGAATAGCATCTATTTGTGAGGTTGAAAACTCTGTTGTAACTTGGATTTGAAATGCAGGCTTTAAGAATTCAGACCATATAACCTGCTATTGGCAGGCAAAATAGTAAAAATGGCTTAAAGTCAGCAGGGCCCAAGAAACTAATAGATTTGTTAATTGGTGTTAAAAGATTAGTACTGAAATTTAACATAACTGAAGTTTAATGCCAACTATTGGGTTTACTGCCCACTGTTGAAAATGAAACTCAGTGGTTCTCTATTGTCTTCCCCATAGCCTGAATCATTAGTACGAAAGACTGGATACACTCTGGAGACTCTTAAGCCTTGTCTCATGGACCTTCACCAGACCTACCTCAAAGCACCACAGCATGCACAACAATCAATAAGAGAAAAGTACAAAAATTCAAAGTAAGAGTTAATTTGCATATTAAAGAAATCTTTCACATTTTAATTTTATTAAAGAATCTACCATTCTGTCACAGCCCCTGTAAGAAGCTGGTCTCATAACTGGTTGTATGCTTGGAGGCAGTTGTAGTTAATGTTGCCTGCTGTACATCTGGGGAGGGGAGGAGGGAGTGGAGGAAGGGGACATGCATTTACATTTTGGGGATCAGACAGGATTCTAAAATCACCATTCAATCCAAGAGAAATAGCAGTCTTTAGTTCCCAGTACATGCATTCCATGATTTCCTTCACCCAGTGAACGTTTACTAAAACTGGATCTTTTTCTATTTACAGGTATCATGGTGTTTCCCTCCTCAACCCACCAGAGACACTAAATGTCTAACAGTGAAAGACTGCATTTGTTTCTAAGATGTAAATCACTCAAAGTATATTGTGTACAGTTTTTATCTTGGGTTTTGAATGTTACAATCATTTCTGAATACAGAAGTTATGGACAAGAACAAATTATGGTATCTATTACTTTTTAAATGGTTTTAATTTGTATATCTTTTGTACATGTATCTATCAGATATTTGGCTAATTTTAAGTGGTTTTGTTAAAAGTATTAATGATGCCAGCTGTCAGGATATTAAGAATTAATAAATTGATTTGGAAAATTTTATAAGTCAAATTTAATTTGAGATAAAAACCTGACTTCAAGATTTCTTAGAAAAGTTACCTGGCTTATACAGTACAGTGGGGAGTGGAAAGCCACTCTCTAAAAAGTTGACTTTAGGAAAACAGACCCTCAATGTTCTAATATCCATTTTCCTAAGCAACTGGATCAGTCTGCCGATTTCTGCACAATAAATCTGTGCTTATTTACCAGTACGATGAAAATCATTCTTCTTTGTACACACACAGCAGCCTATCAGATTATTTTATTCCTCATCAATTTTTACACTTTACACATACACAGGTTGGTGAATAAGGCTTTGAGATGACAAAATTTTCAGAGAAAAAGCTCTAGAACATTCACTTTAATGTTAAAAAAATAAAACTTAGGGATTTGTGAATAAATGATACCCAGGTTGTTAGCACTGAATAAATACATCTAATAGTTATATATACAAATATACAACTATGTTAGCTTTAATTAGCAGCTCTCTTCTTTTTTCTCTTTTTCATTGGCTTTTTACTTGGTGCTTTTTCTTGTTTCCCAATGGTGGTCTGTGTTCTGCGGATAAAGTAAAATAAATTAACAGTTCACTTAATTATGCTTAAGTTTTGGATCACTGAAATAGGAGGTCTTTTATTTTTTTGCACTAGGGTACAAAATGTGACAGCAGGAAAAGTAAATACAGTAACCCTGAAAGGTATCCAAAAATAGTTTAATAGAGAGTTAGGTGCTAATTTTTATTAATTACAGGGTGAAAAAAAACACATAACAGCTGATGAAAAAGGGATGTCTGTGTATAACAGTTCTGTAAGATGAGAGTCAAACCAGAGAGCAAGCCTCAAACTCTTAAGTTACATGTACATGTTTGAAATAAACCAAAAACTTGTTACCTTATTTTCTTTGTTTTCTTGTCTGGTTCTAAAATGACCATTTCTTCTTCTTCACTGTCTGAGAGTACTATAGGGGCATCTTTAAGAAAATGATAAGAAAACAATGTTGGTAAGTAATCTGGGAAACTCCACATGGACTTGTATCAGAGGTTCTAAAATGTTTCAGCTACTCTTACTGTGGGGAGCAACTGGGAGCAACTCGGACTAGACTAAGTTACTGGAATTAAGACTTATTCTATGCATCTGCTCTCCCACAATATGGTGCTGGGAGAGGAGGAAACAGCTTCTATACAGCTGCCTCCAGTTCAACCAATAAGCAGCAGGAGCTGACTCTGATTGGAGGAGAGCAGCGTACTCGGCGTGTGGGTAGCAGAGTTGGGACTGGTGGAAGAGGACTATAAAGGAGGAGAGAGACAACATGCACGGGGAACATCTATCTGAAGGAACACCTGTGCAGCCCCCGAGAGAGCCGGCCGGCGGTGTGCCGCTCCCCTGCGGAAGTGGGGAAAGTGGCAGGGGGAAACCGCCCTTCCACGGAGGTGGAAGGACGGTAGCCAACCCGGGAAGAACCAGCAGCAAACCCGGGGAGGGCAGAGCAGACAAAAGAACAGCGCAGGGTCCTGTGTCGTTCCTCCACGAAGAGGGGGAGCGACATCTTACTGATAAACTTTGTTTTCTAGCCTGTAGCTCCTTAGGGCTCTAAACAGCTCTTCTGTAAAAATGCTTCTGTTTAGGTAAACTCTTTCATTCTTAATATACTGTAATAATAAGAAAGTTTGGAAGAACCAACTTGGTATTTATTTTTTCTCTATTAACACCGGAAGGGAAATTCCAGGAAGCATAATTGCTTGGTTAAAAGGCACATTCATTCTAAAAAATATTTTTGCCAAATGCTTTCAGAAATGTTCATGCTGAAAGAAGTAAACAACCATTTTCATATACCCTTTTCAATGCTGGTATTTTTAATAATGCTCAATGCTATAGTAAAAAAATCCTGTCATTTACCATGGTTAACTATGAGAACAGCTCCTATCTTTTGCCTACTTTTCTCCTGAGCAGCAGCAATTAATGTGAATTAATCCTTTTCTTGTTTGCTTGCACATCAATTCATTTGTAGTTTCTACTTTCATTCATGTTTTAGAAAGGCTTTACTTGTTCTACTCTCCCAGGTAATGTGGTAGCTCTTCACTCACCTCATTCAATATGATGCTGTAATATTTTAACAGTGAAAAATGGAAACTTACTATTACATTTCAATGCTATTGAAAGATTTATTTTGAAAAATATTATTTGAAAGAGAGTTACAGAGAGAGGCAGAGACAGAGAGAAAGGTCTTCCATCCGCTGCTTCACTCCCCAGATGGCTGGTGCTGTGGTACAGCAGGTTAAAGCCTTGGCCTAAAGCACCGGCATCCCATATGGGTGCCAGTTCTAGTCCCAGCTGCTCCTCTTCCTATCCAGCTCTCTGCTATGGCCTGGGAAAGCAGTAGAAGATGGCCCAAGTGCTTGGGCCCCTGCACCCTTGTGGGAGACCCAGAAGAAACTCCTGGCTCCGGATCGGTGCAGCTCTGTCATTGTGGCCATCTGGGGAATGAACCAGTGGATGGAAGACCTCTCTTTCTCTTTGTAACTCCGTCTTTCAAGTAAATCTTAGAAATTGACATCCCATATATTGGAGTGCATGGGTTTGACTTCAGGCCCTGCTCCTGACTCCAGCTTCCTGCTAATGCAGACCTTGGGAGGGGGCAGTGACAGCCCAAGTAATTGGGTTCCTACCACCCATGTGGGAGACCTAGATTCATTTCCTGGCTCCTGGTTTTAGGCTTAGCTGTTGCAGGCTCTTGACTATAAGCCAAAGATGGGAGCTCATGTTTACTGTCTTTCAAATAAATAATAACAAAGCCATCATTTACATGCCAAAATGTACCATCACTTCACAAAGATAAACATACTGTTTTAGAAAAAAACTGGGGGCTAGTGTTGTGGTGGAACAGGCTAAGCCACCACTTGTGATGCTAGCATACCATCAGAATACTGATTCGAGTCCCAGCTGATTTAGCTTCCTGCTAACAGGTCTGGGACTGCAGGAAAATGGCCCAAGTACTTGAGCACCTGCCACCCACATGGGAGACCCAGATGGAGTCCTTGGCTCCTGGCTTCAGCCTTGTTCAGCTGTTGCAGCCATTTGGGGAATAAACAGTGGTGGAAGTTCTCTCTCCCTGTCTCTCTGCCTTTCAAATAAACCAACCTTAGAAAGGAAAAAAAAAAATTGGCATTAGCCTCATTAATTAGTTGAAATTTAAATCACAAATAGCCCCTCCAAAAAAGGAATATACATTTATATCTACATATATTCTCTATACAGATATCATTATCTGTGCATATATCTTTTATATATATGTACAAATACAGTATATTATCTCCATATAATAGACACATATCTACAAAGAAAAGCTATACGGTTTCACTTACCTTGGCTTCCAGTATCAGAAACTTCTATTCCAGTGTCCATTTTCATACTATCAAGAATGACAGCTTCATCACTGCCACCTTCGTCCTCATCTTCCTTCTCAGAGTCTTCAAGATCACCCCAAGAGTTTTCTATTCCCTCTCCAATTTGGGCAGTTCCAGGAGTCCATAGCACAGGTTTAGAAACACTTAATAAGTTAAGAAAACTGAATACTATAAATATTGCTATTTGACAGCTGTTGAAACAGATGAAAATGAAAGTTTTCTTATTTTGGCTGGCGCCGCAGCTCAATAGGCTAATCCTCCGCCTGCGGTGCCGGCACTCCAGGTTCTAGTCCCAGTCGGGGTGCCGGATGCTCTCTGCTGTGGCCAGGGAGTGCAGTGGAGGATGGCCCAAGTGCTTGGGCCCTGCACCCGCATGGGAGACCAGGAGAAGCACCTGGCTCCTGGCTTCGGATCAGCGCGATGCGCCGGCCGCAGCGCGGCAGCCATTGGAGGGTGAACCAACGGCAAAAGGAAGACCTTTCTCTGTTTTTCTGTCTACTCTGCCTCTCAAAAAAAAAAAAAGAGAGAGAAAGTTTTCTTATTTTAAGATTGATTCAAATGTTCCTCAAATGGTTAGGAAAAGAATTTAATATAGCTATACTTGAAAGAAAAATGAAATCCCTACCTAACTCAGGCAAGACTGTATTGACACACTGGTTAGAAACATCAAGAGGGAGTAGGCGGTTAAGCCTAACAGTTAAATTGCCTGCATCCCCACATCGGAGTGCCTGGGCTTGATTCCTGGGTCTGGCTACTGACTCTAGCTTCCTGCCGGTGCACATCCTAGGAAGCAGCAGTGATGGCTCAATTAACTGGGTTTCTGCATTCCATTTGGGAGACCTGGAGCTCCAGCCCAGACTTGGCCACTGCAGACATTTGGGAAGTGGATGGGTTTGCCTTCTCTCACTGTATCTCAAATAAGCAAATACAAAGAAATATCAAGAAGAGAGGCTCTCAACACTTTAGATGTAGTAATGAGGGCACGACTGAATAAACTTCAAGAGCAGTATATAACAATATACAGGTGGGCCTTCAAAATTGTTTTAGAATTTTTTTTTTTTCCATTTTATTTGAAAGGCAGAGAGACAGATCAATCTAACACAAACACCCAACAGTTAAGGGGTGGATCAGCCCAAAGCCAGGATCTTGGAATTCAATCTGAGTTCCTCACATAGGTAGCAGGAACCCAAGTACTTGAGCCATCTGCTGACTCTCAGCATGTGTATCAGCAGGAAACGGTCAGAAGTGGAAGAGCTGAGATTCAAAGCACTCCAGTATGGGATATGCATGTATGTTCCAAGCAGTGACTTAAGCACTGCATCAATGGCACACCAAGAACTTTGGTATTTGCAGATTAAGTTCAAGAACCTTAGATGTTATACCATCAACTTAAACAAATCACTATCTTGTGTCTTAAGTGCTCTCTCTAAAAAAGTAGTTTCCAAAAACAAATTTCTGTATGTACACCTTCCAAACAGCCTTAATAACACCAGAAGTGCTACAAATCAACTTGTTACTGCAAAAACTACCCAATAAAGATACACTTCTGAAGGAGGTTCAGCTTCAGCAATGATTTCTTCTGCTTTCTCCTCCACATCCGAGGTATCAACAGGGGCCTTTTCCATTTTAAATGCTGTGATCCTCTGATTTGGTATAGACTCTGCAAAGCCAAATTTTCCACCTTCTTTCCTGTATAAGGTGTTTTGGGAGTAGGGGGTAGATAGATGGGAGATACTATTTTATTTGGTGGATAATAAACACTTAAATAGTCCAATTAACCTAATCAATACAATTCATTAAAACTATCAAAGGAAAATAACAAAAATTTTAATAACTATCATTTATTAAACCGCATGCCTGCCATGTGCCAGGCACATGTGCCTGAAGTACCTTAAGCTCTCTAGTCCTTAAATTAGTTGTACCAGGTAAGCATTAACCTCCCAAATTACAGTACACTGAAGTGCTGAGTTATATATCTTTATGATCAAACAGAAACAGAGATGGTAATCAATCTCGTTTGTGTTCTTTCCATTAAGCTGAGTTACTCTACTGTTTTTTATTTAAGAAAATGTTAATATTTAAAGAAAAATCTCCTGAGGCTTTATGACACAGGTTGTTTAAATTGGAATAAAGTATAATAAAGAGTTAACTTTCAAAATACCTATTTAGTATATCCAACTGACTTAAGAAAAAGTGATTAAGCGTGAAATCTTATGGTTGTCCTTGTGCAAGCCAACAACCTTAATAGAGAAAGTTGTATAAAAAGACCATATAGTTCTGAAAAAACTTACCTAACTCTCTGGTCATTCTCCAAGGCTTTCTGTATTAGCTCTGTAATTTCTGCTACTTTCACACCAGCTATTTTACTGCATCTCAAAACCTATTTATAAAAGTGAATTCTGTTATTGAAAGGCAACAAACCAAAGGCTTTCACTAATAAAACTAAAACCATGATGCTAATTTTCCTACCTTTACAAGTTAAACCTGACCACCCCCCCCAATATGATCACCCCCCCGCAATATGATAATACAATGTAAACACCATTTAAGCAAGGCGAGAGCTGTTTTAAAATGTCTGAAGAACCATCACATTAAGGGAACAGACTCAAAAACTGCCTACTCAACCATAAAAGCAACCATGGAAGAAACCTCAGACATTCAAAGGGTCTTCCATGAACTTTATAATGTACCTGCACACATACATACACAAGGATGCACTATCTTCTCTGTAAGTAATCCACAGATGGGATCTGGGTAGTATTTACATACTGTCAATAATGACAACGATCATAAAAACATTCACTGCACATTTGCTATATCCTGGACACCACACTATATCTCCTTCAGTTCATCTGTCCTTCCACTCTTCTAAACAACTAAGTATCATAGTAACATCACTCCCTATTACAGATAAGGAAAGAGGTCCAAAGGGATGAAATCTTTCACCTAAGGCCAATTAGTACAAGACAGGGTTAGAACTAATACTGAACTACAATAGCTCGCAAAGCTCTTAACCACATATACTATATGGCATATAGCAGTCCATTTTCTGAAAGCCCTCACGTGAATCCAGTATATAGCTGGATTTGAGAACTACTGCCTGTTACATCCAAATTTTAAAAGTAAAACTAACTTTTCACCTAATTTCTACCTTTTAATGCCTTTTATTTTTTAAAGATATGAATCTCTTTATGGAAAGTTCAGAATCTAGAGGGCCAGAATGGGTACAGCATGGAAAGAAAGATTCCTTAGAGCCCCCAGTCAAAAGGAGAGTGACAGTTCTGAAACCAGATTCTAACATATCCTAGACTCAATCACTGAAAACCACCTTCATTAGATTTAGTTAAAAGAAAAAGTTTTTAAAGAGAACCATTCTTAATCAGATATTAATCAAAGTACTAACTTGATCTTTTAGTAGCATTATCCCACCACTGGACTGGATGGTACAAATCTCTCGATGCTTGTTCATGGCAATCACCAGCAAGCCATCCATTACTCGTTCTTCTCGTTCAGTGGGATCCACCAATAAATACATTCTGAAATAAATGTTACATGAACCTGAACAAATCTAAGGCTGAATCTCTGTCAGGTGTAGTGTGATGGATGCTTTGTATTTTGCTTTTGAGAAGCCCACAGAGTGCAAGCACTTAAGAGTGAGAGTGCACATGAGCATGCTCCCATCTACTAGTTCACTCCCCAAATGCCCACAACAGCAGGAACAGTCTGAGGCTAAAGCTGGTAGCCAAGAACACAATCCAGGTCTCCCACGTGGGTGGAAGGAATCCAATTACTTCAGCTAGCATGGCTCCTTCCCAGGGCTGCATTAGTAGGAAGTTTGAGTCAGGAGTTAAAATAAGGACTTGAACCCAGGCATGTCAATATGAAGTGGACATCTTAACCAAATACCCATTCCCAAAGGCAATGGATTTTTTAAAAAGATGGCATCAATAAAAACACAGTGACAGCCTATGCCTGTACAGATTTGAAAAGTTTGTGTTTTTAGGGGAGGGTTGCGGGTGGGAGGGAAGTTATGGGGGGGAAAAAGCCATTGTAATCCATAAGCTGTACTTTGGAAATTTATATTCATTAAATAAAAGTTAAAAAAAAAAGTTTGTGTTTTTATGAACACCAATGCATGCTAGATGAATATTTCTAGCAATCATAGTAAAATCCCATTAACTTCAGACTGGTTTCATTTAAATAATATATAATCTAAACCGAATGTTATCTCTTTGATTAAATGACTTCTGGCTCATTAAGAAAACGTAAGATAACATTAATTTGGCTAATTTTAAAGTTGCCTTCATGTCCTCTTCTCTGAGGTTCTTCTGATGGCTCAGTAAAAACATGGTCTATTTCTGTACTATCCAATACCTTAGCCAACTGTCACATGTAGTTATTGAGGAATGTGGCTACTACAAACTCAGTAGGTAAAATATTAGATTTCAATGACTTAGTAGAAATAGAAGTACGAAGAACATCTCATGAATTAATTTTTAAGATACTGATTATATATTCTGCATATATTAGGCTAAATACATATTAATTTTACTGTTTATTCATACCCTTTTAATGTGACTATTTAAAAATTGAAGATTATGATATGGTTTACATTTTATTTCTATTGGACAAAGCAGGTCCATTTCATTTTAATGAAATTCTACACTGCGATAACTAAAAATTGAAAGCTTTTCTCTAGTTTTTATGCAAAAATGTATTAAAATGTTTATATCTCTCCTCGTTTCTCGAGATTTAAGGCTTAAGTTTTCATTTCAAAGTACCAATACTTGGACCTAAAAGACTTCAGGTTTACTGCTGTAGGATTTAGCAGTGAGTTGTGAAGAAACTACTGGACAACTAAAGGAAACTAGATTTTTCTCAAAGTTACTAGTCTTCCATTAATTTACAATTTCTATTCCTATTTCCTCAAATGAACGTGTACCACACAACTCTCTTTAATACTTGTACAACTCTATAAAAGATAGTACCATGCCACAGTAAACTTATAAGTACGCCATTAAAAGAAAAACGTTGGGAAGTATCTTCATTATAGCAGAACTTAATAACTGGTATGGTCAGCTCTTTGCCAATTAATGCCCTTACAAAGAAAGAAAATAGCTATAAGGTGTTTTAATATAAGGGGGGGGGGGCGGCACTGTGGTGTAGCGGATAAGCTGCCACCTGCAGTGCTGGCATCCCAGATAGGTGCCAGTTTGAGACCCGGCTGCTCCACTTCCAATCCAGATCTATGCTATGGCCTGGGAAAGCAGCAGAAGATGACCCAAGTTCTTGGGCCTCTGCACCCGCATGGGAGACCCAGAAGAAGCTCCTGGCTTCTGGCTTCAGATCAGTCCAGCTCCAGCCCTTATGGCCATTTGGGGAGTGATCCAGCAGATGGAAGATCTCTCTCTGCCTCTGCCTCTTTATAGCTCCACCTTTCAAATAAATAAAAAATCTTTAAATATATATATCAAAGGAGGAGTTTATTCATTATCCACTTAAATACTTGAGTAGAGCAATGAAGTTCCTAGCTCCATTTGAGACTTCAGCCCACTACAAGGTGAGACTTACCCTTGCTGGAAGAAGGCAAAACTGACACAAATGGGCATGTGGTGGATGCTCAGTGGCACAGGATCACGTTCTTCTGGTGTATACTGTTTCAAAAGAAAAGGCTCAGTCATTGCAGGCATGAAGTTAAAAACATACTTTAAAAAAAGTCATACTAAAATAAAAAATGAAATTTTCATTCTTAGTTCTAAATGACCTCTTTTACAATTACCTGTTTGAGTGCTTTATAGCATGTATCAACAGTTCAGTTCTAAAAGAGTAATACTTCATAGGGGCAGTTTTGTTGCTTAGGAGGTTAAGCCGCATCCTGAAATGCTGGCATCCCAAATAGGTGCCTGTTTGGGTCCTGGCTGCTCTACTTCTGATCCAACTCCCTGCTAATGCACCTAAGAAAGCAGTGGAGGCCGGCGCCGCAGCTCACTAGGCTAATCCTCCACCTAGCGGCATGGGCACACCGGGTTCTAGTCCCGGTCAGGGCGCCGGATTCTGTCCTGGTTGCCCCTCTTCCAGGCCAGCTCTCTGCTATGGCCCGGGAGTGCAGTGGAGGATGGCCCAAGTGCTTGGGCCCTGCACCCCATGGGAGACGAGAAGAAGCACCTGGCTCCCGGCTTCGGATCAGTGCGATGCGCCGGCCACAGCACGCAGGCCGTGGTGGCCATTAGAGAGTGAACCAACGGCAAAGGAAGACCTTTCTGTCTGTCTGTCTGTCTCTCACTGTCCATTCTGCCTGTAAAAAAAAAAAAAAAAAAAAGCAGTGGAGGATTGCCCGCATGCCTGGGCCCCTGTACCCAAGAAGTTCCAGACTTCAGTCTGACCCAGTCCTGACTCTTGTGGCCATTTGGGGAGTGAGACAGCAGATGGAAGATTTCTGTTTCTCCCTCTAACTCTGATTTTTAAATAAATAAAATAAATCGTAAAAAAATAAAGAGTAACAGTTCAGTGCTAAAGAGTATGCTGTTATATAAATATATCACATTTTGTAATCAACTTACAAGGTAATGAATATCTGGGTTATTTTCAGTTTTTGGCTACTACAATTAATGCTGCTATGAACATGTGCATGTAAGTCTCTGGGCAAACAAATGCTCCCATTCCACCTGCAGATTCCTAACCAAGAAATTGCTGGAAATGTTTTTTCCTAGTTCTAAGGCACTGCCAATTCTAATACTACAAGTGTACTAAAAAATATAAAGAGTGTTATGCTTAACTTTAAGATAAACACCCAAATTTCTCCAACATAGCTGTATCATTTTACATTCCCACAAACAGTAACTTTACAGTATTTTTGGATCTTTCAAGTCAAATAATTGCTTCTTACTTTTTTTTTTAAACTTCCTTGTTACAACTCTCTCCTCTAAAGGAAGATTACTGTTAGTAAACCTTTGTCACTTCCCCTAAGTCTTTAAAGAATCTGCTCTAGTTTAATATCTGAAAATACATTATGATTACTTAGAAAATATGGGCATCTGGTGTTCCCTTTTGCAACATCAAGACTCAAACTATAACTACAGTGTACTTTCATTATTTCAGCACATAACTTATATAAACCAAAACTGGCAGACGAAAGAGGAAGACAACATAGATTAGTGAATGGTTTTCAGAATGTGAAATGGTTTTCAGAATGTGGTCTCTGGACAAGCAGCACTTGGGTTCTACTCCTGTTGTACCTCAGCAGTGGAGCCTAAAGTTCTACAGGTATTTCTGAGGTCCATCTGCCATTTATTTTGCTTAATGAACAAAAGTCCTGAAGACAGATGTGCATCTGCTGGCAATTCACTGTGCTGAGTCAGGTATTTTTTACACGTGTGATGCCTAAACATAAGCCAACTACTTCATCTAATGTTCGATCCAAAGAAGCAGCCCTCTCATTCTACCTTAGAAAATCAAGCTAAGGTGTGTTTTGTGTGAAAGGCAGAGAAAGACAGACAAGACACATGACAGACATTTCCCATATGCTGGCTCACTCTAAATGCCTGCCACAGCCTGGCTGGGCCAGGGCAAAGCCACGAGCCTGGACCTCAATCTGGGTATCCCATGTAGGTGACTGGGACCCACAAATCTGAGCCATCAACATAGCCTCCAGGGTACACATTAGGAAGAAACCAGAATTGGAAGTAGAGCTGGGACTCAAATCCAGGCAGTCCAGTGTTCTAACTGCTGAACCTAATGCCTACCCCTAGGGTATGTTTTTTCTTTTTTTTAAAAACACTACTGAGTGCAACTTTCTTTCCTTTTCTTTCTTCTTTTTTTTTTTTTTTTTTTTTAAGATTTATTTATTCATTTGAAAGTCAGAGTTACACAGAGAGGAGAGCCAGAGAGAGGTCCTCCCTCCACTGGTTCACTCCCCAACTGGCTGCAATGGCTGAAGCTGTGCCAATCTGAAGCCAGGAGCTAAGAGCTGCTGCTGCTGCTTTTTTTTTTTTTTTTTTTTTTTGACAGGCAGAGTGGACAGTGAGAGAGAGAGACAGAGAGAAAGGTATTCCTTTTTCCATTGGTATATCCTCCAATGGCCGCTGAGGCCAATGCACCGCACTGATCTGAAGCCAGGAGCCAGCTGCTTCTCCTGGTCTCCCATGCGGGTGCAGGGCCCAAGCACTTGGGCCATCCTCCACTGCACTCCCTGGCCACAGCAGAGAGCTGGCCTGAAAGAGGGGCAACCGGGACAGAATCTGGCGCCCCGACTGGGACTAGAACCCGGTGTGCCGGCGCCGCAGGCGGAGGATTAGCCTATTGAGTCGCGGCGCCGGCCAAGAGCTTCTTCCAGGTCCCCCACGTGGGTGCAGGGCCCCAAGGACTTGGGCCATCTTCCATTGCTTTCCCAGGCCATAGCAGAGAGCTGGATAGGAAGTGGAGCAGCTGGGACTTGAACTGGCACCCAAAAGGGATGCTGGCACTACAGGCAGTGGTTTTGCCCACTATGCCACAGTGCTGGTCGCTAGGGTATGTTCTTAATGACATTTCAATACAGGAAACAGATTTCTAGGGCAATTTGGATTAGACATAGTCTTTGCCTTATCAACAAATTTTAGAACTTACCTACTGGCCATCTATAATGTGACTTTGTTTGTAACAAGTTGCCTGTACATCTAGGATACTCATTCATTCCTGGAAGGATCCTGGCTCACTTCATAGGAACTTACCAGAGTTACTTCATCTCCTTGGACAGACACATCAGGTCTTCGGAAGTGACATAAAGCCACAATTGCAGCAATGCTCGCAGCATCAATAATATTTCCATCATGATTTAATAAATGTAGGTCAACACGTATTTGCCAAACCTGAAAGTGAATTTAGGATAAAAATAAATCCAGACTGATTACAACCGGTGGCCACTTAGAGGAAAAATAACACTGTTAAAAATATATTTCTTGCTTTTAAAACACAGTTACTTCAAGATTTTCAATAAAAATATACGTAGAAAAATTTTACGTTAAAGAAACATTTTTGGGGCTGGCGCTGTGGCATAGCGAGTAAAGCCACTGCCTCCAGTGCCCACATCCCATATAGGAACCGGTTTGAGTCCCAGTTGCTCCACTTCCAATCCAGCTCTCTTCTATGGCCTGGGAGAACAGTAAAGGATGGCAAAGTCCTTGGGCCCCTGCACCCTTGTGGGAGACCCAGAAGAAACTCCTAGCTCCTGGCTTCAGATCGGTGCAGCTCTGGCCATTGTGGCCCATTGGGGAGTGAACCAGCAAATGGAAGACTTCTCTCTCTCTCTCTCTCTGCCTCTCCTCTTTCTGTGTAACTTTGACTTTCAAATAAATAAATAAATCTTTAAAAAAAAACCTTTAATACCAACAGTTTACTTTACTATTTGAGTCACTTAGCAACAATATGAATATCCTAAACAAAACCACTCTACCATCTAAATTTAATATTTTCCTAACTCTAAACCTGAGTATATTTCTATTTTACCTGCTAACTTAAAAACTTCAAATTCTGGGGCCAGCACTGCGGTATAGTAGGTAAAGCTGCTGCCTGCACCACCAGCATCCCATAAGGGCACTGGTTCAAATCTTGGCTGCTCTACTTCTGATCCAGCTCCCTCCTAATGTGCCTAGGAAAGCAGCAGAAGATGGTCCAAGTCCTTGGGCCCCTGTAGCCACGTGGGAGATCTAGAAGAAGCTTCTGGCTCCTGGCTCAGCTCTGACCACTGCGGCTATTTGCAGAGTGAACCAGTAGATGGAAGATTTCTCTTGTCTCTCCCTCAGCCCTGTAAACTCTGCCCTTCAAATAATTTTTTTTAAAAAATCACAGTTGTATTATCCTCATACAGCACAATTTATGGAGACAAAGATTTCCAATGTCAGCCATACCACTGACACTGTGTATATCAATAACCTACCCACATGAAGGATTTGGGTTTGTTTATAAGTTGTTCGTCCCATTGAAAAGGAAAACATTATCAATAGACTTAACGTGAGAAAATAAAAGAGAGATGATATGAAAGAGTCACAAGTTCTTTAAATTAAATGGTTCAACATATATCCAAGTTGCTATTCTTCACCCTTTAAAAAAAACAACAGGGATGGTACAAAGTTCCAAGAATAGTACTCAGAAAGTGAACCAGTATAAATCTAATCAACTAAGTTCTGAAAATCATAGTAATAGAGACCAATAAATCAACAATATTCACCCTAAGATTAATAATTTTGGGTATATGGCCATTGTGGCCATTTGGGGAGCAAATGAGCAGATGGAAGCTCTCTCTCATTCTGACTTTTAAGTAAATAAAGCTTTACCAGAAAAAGAATCTTAGGTATATTTCCCCACCTTTTCACCAGCAACAACACAGAGAGACTCAGTATCCATACACTTCGAATTTCTTAGACATCTTTCCAAGAGTCGATTCAACTTCACCAAAAGATCGGACTGCCTAAGAAAACAGGAATGGGTTGATGTCATGAAATATAATACCATTACATTATACATTATATTCATAAGGCACTAAAACAATAGCTTACTGTTATTAGATTCTCCTATGGTGAAAGCTTAAGAAAAAGATTTAAGTACCTGCCAGGTTCAAAAGCCGGGGCAGCCATCTGAGAGAGCTCAAGGTTACAAAAAAGAATACCTTCTGTTGCTCTATTGAGTTTTGGAGCAACAAGTTCACAGGAAACCTGTCCAAGAACTCTGTAAAGATAAAGGCACAAAGCAGTTTGCTAAATATATTTCCTTTCCAATTAAAAAAAATCTTAGACAACATTGTCTTACTCTACGTAATGCTATACTCAGAACGATATATTCTGAAGCAGAAATTACATATGGAATATATGCAGAGATAAAGGATACACTCTTATAACAAAATTTACTATTTCACAGACTTAGAAGGAAATCAATGACCTTTACTTCTTCCTGAAACGAGTATTTATCAATACAAAATGTCATGGAAACTAGAATTCTTAAGGGTTTTCACATGGCATGGTTTAGCAACATTATCTGACCAAATAGCCTCAAAAGTTTCAAGTGAATATTAAAAACCTAGTTTTCACGTCACTCAGGAAAAAGAGGAATGTGGGACCTATTAGTGCCAAAATGCTCGCAATCTCTACATCCCTCACTCTCTACGGTGAAAGGAGTTCAGGAAACAAATACAAAGTAACCACTGCTGGTCACCTACATGATTTGTAGAGATCAGATACTCATGAAGAAAAGATGTTCAGGATTAAAAACTTAAGGCATGACCACAAAGTACTGTCCCGACTTCTGTGCTAACCACTCCTTGTTGAATCTGTCGTCTAATCTGAACTCTCTTACCTTGTTTTCCCAAGTTCCACAATACAGCACCCATAATCTGTCCCAAACGAGATCCTTATGTTCCTATAATCGTAGGTCTGTCTGCCATCCAGCCGCTGTAAGCACAACATTCATTCTCTTATTCCTTCAACAAGTATTTCTTGAGCAATTACTATGCGTCCGCCCTGGAGCAAAGTGGGATCTTAACCACCCCATCCCGCTAGGAGAGCGGAAGCTAGATGCCCAAGCACTGGAAGTTGCTGGGACGACTCACGCCTCGAAAAGAACCCGTTGGGGTGACATATCGCCTGAGAGGCTGGGGGAACATTCCGGCTGGTTCCCCAGGGCCTCCTGCGGCCCACGCTGGTAAAGTCTGCGAGTTCACCCCGTGTGAGCTGAGCGCCCGCGCGGCGCGCAGTTTCGCGGGGGGGCCGTTTACCTTCTTCTCTTCAATGGCACGGAGTAGGAAGCGGCGCTCGCAGTTTGAGAGTGGCGTTTCCTTCATGGTGTAAGCTCACGGGCCCCACGGGCACCAAAATCCGTGAGGAAACGCGAAGACTCTAGACCCGCGCTCCGCTCGCTCTGCGGCGAAGGAGATTTGCGTCATCAGGGCGCGACGGCTGCGGGTGGGAAAGCTGGGGGCTTGAGCCGTCGCTAGTGCGCAAACTCCAAGCCTGGCTGGGTTCTTCCGAGGGGCACTGGAGCTGCAGAGGCGGCTTAGAGACGGGTGTTTCCGACCTTAAAGTCGGAAGGTTCCTTTAAGGTAAAGTGCCAGGGGCTTAAAAGACGCACACGATAGCCACGTGGTTGACAGACAATAGCATGAGTAGACCACTCTCACACTCTGCCGTTCCTCAGTCCCGGCGCGGGCGAGGCTGCAGGGGTGTTACTGCTGTTTCACTGATGAAGGCGTTGATGCTTGGCCACTAGAAAGCTCCAGAGGAGGGTTTGGAGCAGGTACCGTGGAAAAACACTGGACACAGGGCGCAAAAGAGACAAGCGGGATTGGGAGAAGACAGTCGCGGCGGTGAGCTGGGACGTTCCTGCTGGCTGAGGTGAAACAGATCTAAGAAGCTGACAAGATTCGAGGTCGTTCCTGCGTTGTGTTATCGCCGTGGGCTGAAACTACACTGTCCATAGGCTTATTGTTAGGGGCAGACAGAAGCCTTGTTGTGGCTGTGCTGCCAAGCGCTCAGCTTTTTTGGAGAGAAAGATTGTCAAATAGCAGTAGCTTCCTCCTATGAAAGCGGTGGAAGATAGCTCAGTACTGGGGCTGCTGCCACTCACAGGGAAGACCCGGATGGAGTTCCGGGATCCTGGCTTCCACCTGACCCAGCTCCAGCTTCTGTGGACAAGGGAGTGAACCAGCCAGCGAAGATTCTCATTATCTCGTTTTCTTTCTTTCTCTCCCCCACCCCCACTCTGTTGCTCTGCCTTTCAAATAAATAGAGCTAATAGAGGTTTTAAAAACAAAAACAGGAACTCGAAACTGCCCAGATTCGTATTCACATTGTGCCATCCACTAGGTCTGTGATCCTGGACAAGTTATTTAGCCTAGATGATTCACAGTACTCAGTTGCAAAATAGGGATGATAAGTTATTATGAGGAATAAAACCTAATTAGGACACATAAAATGCTTAGAGCAGTGCTTGGCTAAGCACTATTTGCTTTGTATTTTGTTTCCCTTTGCTTTGCATGTGGTAAGCATCACAACTCCTACATAAAATCGATTCCTCTCTTTTATCTCTTCTCACACTTTGTTTTAGTGAGATTAGATTTTAGTTTCTACCTCTTGCTGTCTAACCTAGGTACTCAATATTTAAAGACGGTTTACTGTGTCCCAAGAATAACTCCAGGGCTAGGTTTAAAAAAAGGGGGGGGGGGGTAGACAAGATCCTTTCTTTCAAGAAATTTGTTTCTTTAGAAGAGACAAAAACTTAACTAAATAGAACAATTTCAGACCCCTATCAGTGCTGAGAATGGGAATCTGGCTGGCTGGCTAGCTCACTAGGCTAATCCTCCACCTAGCGGGGCCGGCACACCGGGTTCTAGTCCCTATTGCCCCCCTTCCAGGCAGCTCTCTGCTGTGGCCCGAAAAGGCAGTGGAGGATGGCCCAAGTGCCTGGGCCCTGCACCCGCATGGGAGACCAGGAGAAGCACCTGGCTCCTGCCTTCAAATCAGCGCGGTGCGCCAGCCGTGGCGGCCATTGGAGGGTGAACCAACGGCAAAAAGGAAGACCTTTCTCTCTCTCTCTCTCACTATACACTGTGTGTCAAAAAAAATTTTTTTTTGAAAAGAGAAAGACCCATAGAACTTACATTATAGGGACAAGTGGACAAAAAATGAAGTGACAATCTTGCCTGGCCATGATGAGTGACACAAGGAAAGCTGGCAGAGATGAGTGAAAGTCGCCAGGAGGTTACCGTGCAGGTAGCACAATAAGGACGGAGGCGGAGGACTGTCTGCTGAAGAAGCATTTGTGGAAACCTGAAAATGGAGAATGGATAAATAAATGGACTTTATTTATAAAAATATAAATAAATGGACTCAAAATGAGTAGGCTGTGAAGAAGATTGCTTGAATTAAATAAGGCAGCTGAGTTTTGAGGAGGTCAGGGCCTTCTTTTGAGATTGTCCGGTGAGTACTCAGTGAATCTGGATGTGGTTTCTTTCTTTTTTTTTTATATATTTTATTTTATTTAATGAACATAAATTTCCAAAGTACAGCTTATGGATTACAATAGCTTCCCCCCCCCCATAACTTCCCTCCCACCCACAACACTCCCCTCTCCCACTCCCCTCTCCCACTCCCTCTCCCCTTCCATTCATGGATGTGGTTTCATGAGAAGGAGTTTAATGGAGAAATAGCCCAGGCTTTGGAGCCAAGCTGCCTGGTTTATTTATTTATTTATTTATTTTTGACAGGCAGAGTGGACAGTGAGAGAGAGAGAGAGAGACAGAGAGAAAAGTACTCCTTTTTGCCGTTGGTTCACCCTCCAATGGCTGCCGCGGCCGGCCCGCTGATCCGATGGCAGGAGCCAGGTACTTATCCTGGTCTCCCATGGGGTGCAGGGCCCAAGGACTTGGGCCATCCTCCACTGCACTCCCTGGCCACAGCAGAGAGCTGGCCTGGAAGAGGGGCAACTGGGACAGAATCCGGCACCCCGACCAGGACTAGAACCGGGTGTGCTGGCGCCGCAAGGCAGAGGATTAGCCTAGTGAGCCACTGTGCCGGCCAAGGGATATGGGTATTTTTTTAAGATTTATTTAATATTTATTTGAGAAGCAGAGTTATAGACAGAGCGAGGGAGAGACACAGAGAGAGAAGTCTTCCATCCATTGGTTTCCGAATAGCCCCAAGGGCCAGAGCTGGGCTGATTGGAAGCCAGGAGTGTCTTCTGGGTCTCCCACATGGGTGCAGATGCCCAAGAACTTAAGGCATCTTCCACTGCTTTCCCAGGCCATAAGCAGAGAAAGCTGTATTGGAAGAGGAGCAGCTGGGACATGAACAGGCTGCCCATATGGGATGCCAGCGCCACAGGTGGAGTCTTACCTCACAGCGCTGGCCCCTGGGATATAGGTATCTTAACCCTGGGCTAGATAGATATCCGTAGATAGGATAGTTTCAAAAGAGATGATGTTTAAGCACAGAGAACAATGCAAGACACAAAGTAAAGCTCAAAACACATTTGTTGAATTATTAAGAAAAGTCAGAGTAAATTATATCATAAAATAGAATGTTAAATACTCTATAGCATAATAAAATATTCTATTATGGCTAAATAATTCAATTATTTTTCATCTTTTTACGTTCTTTTGTGTGTATTATATAGCTTTATAAATCCATTTTTGGAAAATAACCCTATTTTGATAGAACATTAGATTATCTGGCAAAATTTGTACTGAGCCCATGCTGACTCCTAATGGTTACCTCTTACATTTCTAAATGCTCACAAACCATCTGAGAATCAGTTTCAGAATTTGCCTGTAGAGTAGTGCTCTTCATTTCATTTGGTTTACAGTATTTGCCTTCTTTGCACTCTGGAACTTGGAGAAGTTCTGGTTCTCTTTGAGTGGAAAATCTGGCTCACACTACTAGCATATTTTATTAGTGATGAAGACCATTAGAAATTTTCTACATCATCTGAATTTTTTATGAAAGGAATGAAATGACTACATTCTCCTTGAGGAGCATTTGAATTATACAACTAGCAACTGACTTCTATTTCAAACCATAACTCTGTATCAAATCATGGGGCTGATCCAACATGAAATTAGATTACTCATCTGTGAGAGGCAGAGTTCCAACAGGAAAATTTAGGTAGGATGTGAGTCATATGATGTGACATTCTTCTGCCCTGTAAATATATCCTATTTAACTAAACCATATGTTTTAACAGAACTAAGAAAACGAAAATATAAAAATTTTGTATATCTACCCTTTGATCAATTAGATTTTTTATACATTTGAATTTCTCAAAGTTATAATTGGACTTTGGAAATGTCAGTCATTTTCTTTGCAGCAAACCTTTCCAACTGCATGTTTCCTAAATAAATAACTTGTGATCATTTAAATATAGTAAAAGATATTGAGCTGTGCATATATTTACTGTTTTTTATTCCTGTCAGATACCTTTTTGTCATGTGAAAAACTAGATCAACAATAGATACACACATGCAAAATAAGAGTCTTTTAGTGAAGGAGGGCTGCTCATGTCTTCTTGTCAATAGAGGTTTCATGAAACTCCTATTTCTGTAAGATTTTTCCTTAAAATTACTAATGAAAACATTCTGGAAGTTGTTATTTTTGTGTGGGTATGTGTGTGTGTGTGTGTGTGTGTGAGAGAGAGAGAGAGAGAGAGAGAGTATTGTCTGATACAAGAGCTCATAGGAAAAGTAATTAGATGTTAAAATGTGTAGTCCATGGTCTCCCTTCTTAAGTTTCCAAGGGTCAGTTGAATTGTTAATGGAAGAGAATTAAACTTCATAATTTTGATTGGATTTGCTAGCATTTCATCTCTACAGTTGACCTTTAAAAGGTTCCACTGGGCAGTTTCAGTTGAACAGCTAGGAAACCTCTGAAACACATTCAGCTTTGGTCACAGGGCTTTTCAAGTTGCATCCCACCTCTGTTCTCTTTCCTCTTTTGCTTTGGAGTGCTGAGGGCTGTTGATGAGTCACAGAGCAAGTACAAAGGATGGGGGCGGTGGGAGGTGAGAAACAGGAGAGCAGGCCTTGATGCATTTTAGAGGGACACTACCCATTATTGGAGAATTTAAAGTTTATGAGTATATTCCTATGGGTTTAAGTGTCTGTGTGAATGTTTATGGAATTCAAGTTGACTTATACCTTCTTGTCACAACTAATGAAAACTGGATCTCTTACTTGATTTTCAGTGTCATTTAATATCATTTGTGTTCTGTAAATAGTTTGTGATTTTAGTGACCTCCTCGAAGTACTTTTTCCTTTTGACTTCAGGGGTTTGTAACTTTCCTGCATTTTTTTTTTTAACCTCTCTGGACGTTCACGTCAATCCATTTCTGGGATTCTTGCTTGGTTCACCTCTTAAGTGTCAGAGTTTCATGGGTTTCTGTCCTAGAAAATTT